TATCTTCATCTTGAATGGACTGAATTCTTATTTTAAAAAAATCTTTACAATTATCAGAGCTTAAGAGACAATTATTACATTTAAAGAACTTTATTATAAACTTATTGATTTTGAATTAGCCATTAAGCAATATGACTTCAATTTTGCTCCTATAATTATTGCCAATAATAATTAATATTTCAGAAGAGGAAGTGAAAACTACTTATATAAAAGAGGTAATTTTAGGAGAAGTTATGCAAACAATTTCAACTGAGGTAACTACAACAATCAAAAGAAAAAGTTTACTAACACCACTTATCAACCTAGCAAACCTATCTGTTAGTTGTGCGAAAACCCAAGCCATAAGCCAAAACTTATAGGCTTCATAAATCTAATGCAAGAAAGCTAGTAGCCAGTAATGTCATCACCTATTTTTCCATTAACAACCATTACTAGATCATAGACTCGGGAGCTTCTTATAATGTCACAATAAACTTGAACAACTTATCATTGTATTCAGATTATGGAAGGCCAAATGAAATAATTGTTGGTGATTGTATAGGTTTGTAAATTGTTCACACATGCTCTACTATTATTTCTACCATATCTAAACCTTTTAAATTGTCAAATGTTTTGTGTGTACCATATATAAGAAATAATTTCATTATTGTTTCTCAATTTTGCAACACCAATAAGTTTTTATTGAATTTTTTTCATCTCATTTTTTAGTGAAAGATTTAAGCAAGGGAGCATCTTTAGTGAAGGATTTAAGCAGGATTAGTTTTTATGAGCTTTCTAACAAAATGTCAACATCTCTTTCATTAGTAACAACATTGCTTAGTGTCAAGAATCTTGTTGATGTTTAGAATAAAAGACTAGGACATTTATCATCTAAAGCTTTTAATCAAATAGGCCCTTAGTCAAATGGTTAAGTTTTTTAATTTGTCATTTGAAAGTTTTCAAAACTTGTTAATTTGTGACTTTTTTCATTATAATAAAAGTCATAGTCTACCATTCAATAGTTTTAGTCTTACTAGCTCAAAACTTTTAGAATTGCTATAAATTAATGTTTATGGCTAATACATGTCACTTCTATTGTTAATTTTAAGTTTTGTGTTATCTGTATCGATCACTATAATAAGTATATCTGATTTTTTCCTTTGAAACATAAATATGATATTTATCATTTATTTTTATCATACAAAACTACTATTGAAAAGTTCTTTAATATTCAATCATATCAGTTTACTCTGATAAATGAAATGAGTGTGAAAAATTATTAAAACTTCTAGCATCTCATGATGTTTATCATCTTACCACTTAGCTACATATCAATCAATAAAATGGAACAATTGAAAGGAGATAAAAATGTTGTTGAACCTTATCTAACTCTTTTACATCAAGCTACCATGCCATTGAGTTTATGGTCATATGTTTTTCATATTGTAATCTATCTTATAAATAGACTCTTCATTTATATTCTTCATAATTTGTCACATTTTGAAAAACTATTTCACAAACCAACAAATTGTAGTAAACTCAAGGTTTTTAGCTACTTTTGTTGTTCTTGGTTAAGACCTTACAACACAAACACACAAAATGTTTTCAAATGCTATGATCATGTAACCAAGAGAATCCTTGTCTTCAGATATTCTATTTCATGAGTCTGTTTTTCCTTTTACATCATTATAATTTATTATGCTTTCTGTTATATTTTTTACTTTTGATGAGTAGTCTTATGTAATTGCCTTAGTTAATATCTCTTATCCTTTTACTATTATTAAAGTAATATCACATACTAGCCAGTCTAGCTTTGAAAAAATCTTGTTGTTCAAACTCTTCACTTATCCTCTAATGCAATATCTTAATCACTAGGTAATGATTCTTTATCCTCTTTACATGTACCTTTTTCAAATATCAATGCTAATCTTTTTATCAGAACATGCTCAATGATAATTAGATTTTAGAATAACATTTTAAAAAAAAAAAGTTCTTCTTGTCTCCAAGCATTCAATTTTTGCTATTCTTAAGTTTATATATGTTACTCAAGCTATCAAAAATTCTAAATGAATGATCGTTATGATAAAAGAGTTCAATGTTTTTTTAGAAATAAAACTTGGAGTTTTATATCTTCCACTTCAAAACAGAACACTATTGGCTGCAAATAGGTATTTAAAGTGAAGAGAAACTTTGACAGTTTTATCCAAAGATATAAGGTAAGACTAATGGCTAAAGGGTGTTACCAATGTCTTGACATCAACTATTAAGAAACTTTTAGTCTTGTTATCAAACCTATAACAATCAAAATTGTTCTCTACATAGCTTTAAATAATGACTAGCTTATTAGATAATTGGATGTAAACAATGCATTCCTATAAATCACTCTCTGATGAGATTTATATGGCTCAACCTATTGGCTTTTATTAACAATGATGCTTCAAGTCATGTTTACAAATTACATAAGGCCAACTATGGACTAAAACAGTTCCCAAGGCATGATATCAAGAGTTAAAAAAGTTTTTAATTGAGTTTGGATTCATTACTTTCGTATCTGATGCATCATCATTTATCAACTCCAAAGATTTTGTCATTATATACTTTTTGTATATGTTAATGATTTACTTGTCATTGGTAATCAAATTGAAGTTTTCAATCATATGTTTTAGTAACTGTTTCATAGATTTTCCTTAAAGACCATGGTAGACTCAATTTTTTCCTAAGAGTTGAAATGATTGATACCAATGCTAGTATGTTCTTATTCTAACATAAATATATCAGGGATATTGTGAAAAAACATGATATGCTCAATGCTAAGGATATTTATACACCTATGGCTAACAATGCAAAGCTACAATTATAAGATGACACATGTGATTTGGATCCTATTAAGTATTAATAAGTAATTAGCTCCCTTTAATATCTGTTCTTAACTAAACTTGATATTGCTTACTTTGTCAACAAGTATTTTTAGTTCATGCATGCACCAAACCATTGCCACTAGTATTCTTTAAAAAGGATACTCAAATATCTCAAAAGAAAAATTTATCATGATCTTTTTCTGAAGAAATCCAAACAACTTACTTTTTTAACTTTTAGTGACTTAGACTGGGTTGAAAACATGGATGACTGACCTTAACAATAACATATTTTAAAAAGAAATCTAGTTTCATAGGAATCTTCTAAACAAAATTCAATAGCTAGATTATCTTGAAAGGTTAAATATAGAACGATTGCAAACACAATAGTTGAGCTTATATGGATTCAAAATTTTCTAAATTCAAAATTTTCTAACTAAGCTATACATTCCATGTAAATCTTCTTCTTCAATCAACTATAATAATATAAGTGTTATTTATTGTAGTGTCAATCTAGTGTTTCATTCCAAGATGAAACACTTAGCTCTTAGTACAACTTTGTTTGCTAGTATGTTAATTTTGGCAAAATTCAAATATCCCACATTTTTACCAAATATCAACTTACAAATGGTTGACTTATACACTTGCAAGACAAAGATTTTTGTTTATCTAAGCCAAGATAGATGTAGCAAATGGCTTCACCATTTTGCAGAAAGCATGTAAAAGATAACTAGGTAGTTGCAGCAACAAATGAGCAGAACTAAGAATTAGCAGTAGACAAATAAAGATAATTAACAAGCCCACAAACTAGCATCAAAACTAGTATATAATTAGACAACAATTGTAAGAAGACTTTTCAATCAAAGACGGAGTTGTAATCAAACAACAATGATGTCAAGATTGAATATCAAAAGAATAAAGGCAAGCTCAATTTGTAGAATCATTTAGAGTAATAATATTAAGGATATACAATTGCAAAGTCAACTTGAAAGCATATCAGATTTCATGTAATTAGAACCATAATCTTTATTGTATTATATTTACTAACGTATATTTGCTCTTTTGTGTGTGTATATATATACATGTGATGCTAGTAAATAAAATTAAGCTCTTTCAACCATCTTAGCACTCACTTTTGTATTAACATTGCCTCATTGTCTTTGTATATGACAAGAGAAGGTGTTGGTAAAAACAATTAGTGATCACAAATCTGAAGTTAAAACTTAAATATAGTTACAGCATCTCATTATTTAAAGATTGCAAGAAATCGTAGTTGTATATAGTTGGTTGGTTGTTGATCATTATATATTTTTTAGGATGATCAGAAACAAAAATTTGTGTGGCCACATAGCACGATCGACATGACTAATACTCTTGCAAGATGAAGGGTCAACTTTGCTAATGAGCTAACTAAAGAATGAAACATTATGTTTGTTAATTAAAAATGCAATTTATCTTTTTAAAAACACTACAATTATAAAAAAAGAAACATAATCTCATTTAATATTAGGGTTTTGGGCTACGGTGGATATAAAACTCTAATTTTAAAAACAAATATAGTTTTTTTATGTATCAGACTACTTTTTTTTTTTTTTATAAACAACTGAAATCTACATTATTATTTCAATATTTAAAATATATTCAATAACGTTTATTGTATTAACTATAATGTTTTATTATTTAAGATTTCATTCAAAATAAAGTATCATAATTTTTAAGTTAAATAATTAAAAATATAAAATTTACTTTTTAAATTTATATATAAATAATTTATAAATAAATTAAAACAAATTACATGTTATATAAAAGAGAAATGATTTGACACACTAACAATATAGTTTTTTAACCTCATAAATGAGATTTAAATGATGACATATATCTCACTTTTTTTTAAATTAATTTTTTTTATTCTTTTAAGTATACACTAATGTACATGTGTCATCATTTTCACTTGTTTGTAAAATTATAAAATTATATTGTTAATGTATTTGATAATTTTTCATTATATAAATATATAAATTAATTAAAATAAATTGCTTGTACGTTAAACAAATAAATAAATTATAAAAATATTAAATAGATAAGTTGTTTAATTATTTTATAAATGTTATACATATATATAATTATTAAAATTATGCATATATATAATACAAAAATTCATTAAATAATCATAAATTGTTGGAAGCTAGCACAAAAATCTTACATTCAATTTTCACATTTTGGATAATCACTTTTACAACGGGATCCTGTATTGCACAAACCAAACGCAACTGAATTAAAGCGACAGATTAGAGAGTAAATCCGAAGAAAAGACTAACAATTCTTTCTGGGTAAAGTAGAGAGTGGATCAGATCCAATCCAACCTAAGGAGTTCGGAGAGAGAAAGATTGGGAAAAAGATGGAGAAGATGAGCCATGCGTTTGAGAAGATGAAAATGCTGGTGGGGATGGAGGGGGAAGATTACCACCAACAGCCTGCAATAGAAGACGGAAACTCATTCTCTTTTATGGACGACTTCAATAGCCATTGCACTTTGACCACCAAACAGGTTTCTTACTTTCTCTTGCTTAAATTGCTAACTCTCCTTGCAACTGTTGGAATTTGCATAATCTTCTTCAAACTTAAGATCTGGGCCGCCTTTTAATTGGCTTGAAAATTTTCACTCCTTGTAATTGTAGTGCTTTCAGAAACATGGTCTCATTTCTGCCAATGTTTCATTTTTTGTTGTTCTATAGTTATAAATCCAAATCAACAGCTAGGTGTTGACTACGATTAGCTAGACAGGCCTTAGCTTTCCCCTTTTTTTTTCCTTTCATTTTCTATTTATGTTTCGTTAACTATTACTTGGAAATTTGTAAGGTACAGGGGCCAAGCCAGCATTTGGATGAAGGAGGGCTAGAATAATGGCAGTCAAAAGAGTCAAAAGAGTGCTTCAACTGCTCACTAATCGAGATAAAAAAATTATTTTTACTAAAGCAAAGAGATGGCCAGATTGAGAATTAGATAAAGAATTTAGAAGAAACTTATTTTGATAAACTGTAAAGGGTTGACGGCTAGATATATTAATAAGGCACATAGACATAACAATAAAATAGTTGACTTGGATTTAGTTAGGTTTAAATAGTAAACTGGGTTTCAATTTAACTTGAATTTTAAAATTGGGTTGAATAAGTAAATAAAAATAACTAATGAAATGATAAAAATAATAAAATAATATAAAAAATCAAATTTACACATTTTCTATACCTTTGGGGGGGGGGGGGGGGGGCATGGCCCTTACCATCTTACATCCCAAGCTTAATAACTATGATTGGATTGAGGGGAAGGAAAGGAAATGAAAGGAAAATAAAGGAAAGTAATGGAAACAGAAAAAACCTTCCTCTGTTTGGATAAACTTTTAATTTAAAAGAAAGGAAAAAGGTGGAAACTCAATAACCTTTGGTTTCCCTTGTAATCCTCACTTTTTAATACCCCAATTTGGGGGAAAAGCTAAAGAAAGGAAAGTTGAAAAAATTTTATTTTTATAAAAAACACTATTATATCAATCCTTTTATTAATACTAAAAACCTAGTAAAAAAAACCTAACCACATCACAATCTTTCTATAATCTTTTCAAAGTCATCTCTTTTTTCAAGTAAGTTTCACATATCTTTTCCAATATAAAAATTTTTATAATTTTTTGGTGATTTGATTTTGATGAATGATTGAATATGAATAAACATATTTTTTTGGGTTTATGGGATGTAATGTTTTTATATTATTGCATTTTTTGTATTTAATAGCTTTATATATGAATACATCTTCAAAGTGATAGTGTGCTAAAATTTTGGCAGTGGCCAAAAAATCTATCAATGCATGTTTGTAAAATATCTTTTTGTTTCATTTGATTAAAAACCACTGATATAGTAGTAATTATGAGGCCTTACAAGGTGACAAACATATCATGGTTTAGAAGTGCTTTAAAATCACAGGCAATGAAAGGTTATAATGAATCATTTCCTTTCTTTTTTACTCTTTATCCAAACAATGGTTGTTAGAATTCTTTCCTTTCCTTATTAATTTTAATTATCCAAACAAGGGATACATATATCCTTTCCTTTCCTTTAAAAAACTTTCTTTTCCTTTCCTTTCCTATCCTTCATTATTAATATTTATCCAAACATTAACTAAAGTAACCTTGTGCCAGCCTTCTTTCGACATATACATATTTTATTGCTTGTAGCTTTTTCCAAAAAATGAAAATGCCTTTAGACCACGAAAGAAAATCTAATTTTGAATTTAAAGATTTTTTTTTTTTTTTTGTGGAGAGCAAAGTAGGTGGTAGTAACTTTTATATCGAATAGTTATATTAGAATCAGAGTTGCATTTTCGTAATTTGTTCATTTCTATAATCAATTATGATTTTGCTTGTTATCCTCTACTTTTGCTTTTAGCAACCTTTTTAAGAAATAAAAAGCAAGTAAAAAAGTAACAATCAAATGTAGCCTAATTTATTTTAACTAATTGCTTTCTTTCTGTCATGCTTCAGAGGTTTTATGGGTTTGCAATATGCTTTGTTGCTGGGTTAACTTGTACACTCCTGGTAAGTATTAACATATAGTACATGTGTAGTTAGTTATATATAGTCCATTGTTATTTGTTTTCGGCGCAATGACATTGCTATTCAAATAGATATGACTGCTTAGATAAAAGATTTTTCAAGTGGCAACTATCTAAATTGATAATTATATTTATTTCTCCTAAGAGTGAAATACTTTTAACTACTAGAACTTAAAAAAGGATATGTGACTGAGAGGGTTGCGTTCCTCTGTTTTCATCTAGTACTTTTAGTTTGACCACTTTTCTTCTTTCCTTTTTATTTTCTTTCTTACTATCGAAGTTCTATTTGATTTGCTAACTAAATATATTAAGTGTTGAAGCTGTGAACTGCTTTCTGTTGGATCTTACATGATTTATGATTGTTTTTATGTACTGAATATTTTTCTGATCCGTTGTTCACATTTTATTTCCATATAACTCTTCCTTTTTAAAAGCTCAATGAAGCAATTGCTGCAAAAAAAATTGCCTAAGCTGCACAAAGTACCATATTTGCCTGTAGTTTCTTTAAAGAACTTTTCCTAACGCATAAGTGTTACCGTCGAAGGGTTTTAGATTAAAATAGTTATGAAGTTACCTTATTTGAAACTCACACATTGACCTTTCCTGGAAAATTACCATTTCCTAGTGATTAATTTTTCTTGAAGAAAAAAAAAATATACGAGTGGTATACTGGATGAGATAGTGATACAAAGCTCTAAAAATTCCTTAATGATAATTACTTTAACCTGCTAACAGTTTCTACTATTCTGGAAGTTTGGGTTGATAGCTGGTTATATTTGATCACAATCTTTAAAGTTCAGGTTCCATGAGGTGATTTTTGTTGTTTGTGTTCCTCGCAAGATATTCATGGTTTGAAACTTTCTCCAAGAATTATGAGTTCTTTACCATGGACAGTTGGTTTTGCTTGGCAAATTGAGATTCATGTGAAACAAGAAATATGTTAAGTGCTTGTTATTTCTTCAAAAATTAAATGGCTAATTTACAATTTCTTACCTTGCATCCTGTTGAGTCTTGACAAGGTAAGTGTTTGCTATTGTTTCTCTTTCTTTTTTTGTTGCATTAATTTTGATGTATAGATTCCTTTCATCAGAAGTTTGGAATTTTAGCATCTTAGGTTGCACTGCAAAGGTAGCATCCCTAAAATATTATTTACTTGTGAAAGTGTAAATAAGTCACTTAATGTTTTTGCACTTACCACTTTTCAACATATCAAGATGGTGATGGTATCGTTTCTTTGTGTTGCTACAAAATTTGGAAGTTCAGTCCTGAACACTATTGACTTTTTGGTTAATAGGATAGTGTTTAAAATTTTTATGTAGTTAGTTTGCTTCAATTTGCTTCATTGAATTTCATGCTTTTGAATATACCAATCTAATTTCACTTTTTCTTGCTTATCTCACAGTCAATCCTTGTTTTCTTCCATCCAATAAAGTTTGGAATCACATTTACATTTGGCAATTTGCTTTCACTTGGAAGGTTTGTATATTTATTTACATGTACATTTACGTTTACATTCACATTTACATTTAGATTTATATATTTACTTGTCAGGCTCCTAGTTTGTCAGTTAAACTATAACATGTGTGATTATTCATTTATGTGTGTCTGCAAGTGCACACAGTCACATGTTCTCATGGTTTAATTGTTTGTGAGCCTTTTCCTTTTCCTTTTTTTGTTCAGAAGAGTGGTGGAAACCACTCAAACAATACAAGCCCTAGGCTTTTTCACTCTTACTAGATCATCATGTGAAAACCAACTAAAGCATTTGGCGGATTATGAAGTTTAGTAACTTCAAAATTCCCAGCATGTGCCCAATCCGTAAAAAATTAGCACAACAATTGACTTCCCTATATGTATGAATGACGAAGCTATGCCAATGTCCACTCATCAACTGTTTACAGTAAAAAATCACCAGGTACATGTGTTTGTTGTCATGCAAAGGCTGCAAAATCTTATTAACAGCCAAGAGCAAATCAGATTCAATTTTTACCTTCCGATATCCTTGTTCCCGGGCTAAGAGCATTCCAGTGTAAGTGGCATATAATTCAGCCATTAAAATATAGCCCACATCAAGTCTCCTGTTAAAGCCAAATAACCAATTCCCACAACCATCCTTGCATAGTCGGCTAACAGCCCAATCACCTGGGTTGGAATAAGCAGCCCCATCAACATTCATCTTCATATATTCTTGCAGAGGAAATTGCCATGCAATAAGTTTTACCTGCCGAGCACTAGTAAGTTTCTTTAGCATCCTAAACTGCAAATAATCTTGAATACCAGCAAGCATCAAGCAAATAGCATTTGGTGGCGACTTGAACTCCACCTCAAAGGCACATTTTTTCATAGTTTCCAAATATGTCAGCAAACAAAACCAAAACATGTGGGCTATGAGATATTTTCTTCAACTAAAACATTCTTTCAACTAAAATTAAAACACAACCAATCCCTTAGTGACAAAGAGCAGAAGTGATCCAATTGAGTGCCATGTAACCAATGAGACCAAGACGGGTAATCTCTAAGTAAGTGTAGCAAATTTCCAACCTCTCCATTACACCTGGGACATGAAGCAGAGAGGGTAATATGACGTTTGTTAATATGATGTTTTGAAATACTAACCAAAGAAAATGTTTAATCCGAGAAGGCACATCCATCTTCCAAATTATTAAAGAAAATGTTTGTGAGCTTTGTTCATGCATTGTATTGATATTGATGGCTTGTATAAATTATTAAAACTGTGCATGAGATTTTCTCCACTTCTCATTGACACTAAGCTGGAGCAAAGGAAAAACCAGCATAAAAGGGAATGCAAAAAGAGTGTAATTCGACAGTTGTTTGGTAGATCATAGTGCAATTGGAGGAAAGGAATGAATCTGGGTTAAGTGTTTTCTCATTTTCCTTCATATGAGGGAGTAGATTTTTAGTGTGAAAGAATGCATGGTACGTTTCCATTTTTCTTTGAAACAAATAACAGAAATGAGGTTTTCCCTCGTTTTCTCCCATCCACTTTCCTTTGTTCCCTTGTCACTCCTGCCAAGTGTTGCTACCCAACATAAATAGCTATTGGTTGTTTATTTCTTTTCTGAGTATAGGATGTTAATCCTTAGCAAACTTGCAAGGGACTTATGCTGTACTTCTTGATCATGGGGTACATGCAATAAAGTTTTGCTGGTTCCATGCTGGGCCAGACTATTATTATTTAAAGTTTAGTCACCTTTGCTCCTTTAAGAATTAAATGTAGTCTGTTTGTTCCTCATTTTTCCTTAACTTTCTTCTTGTTTTCAGTTATTGGTTTTGCTGCTTTATGTAAAAAGTCCCTACTCTTATTTATAAACCTTTATTTTGGCATATTAGCACGAGACAACTTTGGCTGTTCTAACTTTTAATATGTGGATTCTGAACCTTTTAACAATGGACGGTTTCTTTGTTGCTTTTTTATACCTAGCATTTATGCAACTTCTTAGTGTTATGTAGCCCTTTGTCAAAGTAGCTCCATTTCTTTCCTTTTATAATTCTTCTTTGTGGCTATTGTGTTTATTTCAGATGCTAAGTTGGAGTGTTTTGTATGGCAGCACAGCATTCCTCATTGGCCCAAAAAGGCAGGTGTCAATGATGTTTGATCCTGTTCGTATATATGCAACAGCTATATACCTTGCAAGTATGATTATAGCTCTGTTTTGTGCTTTCTATGTAAGTCACTATCAGCCTTTTATTTTTCATTTTTATCATTATGCCCCTTTTTCTTTTACATTCTTTTTAGCTTTCAGTAATTATAGAATGCGACAGGTTAAGTGATAACCTTAGCTCTACCTTATTGAACAGGTTCATAACAAACTATTGACACTTTTGGCCATCATTTTAGAATTCGGTGCACTAATTTGGTATGTCAAAACACTCAATTCAATATATATGGCTTCTATAAATTTTACCATATCACAAAGCAATTATGGTTCTCCAAAGAACCAAACAATTATTATCTTTCCTATATTGCGTTTGAAACAAAGCATCACATTTTGTCTTGTACACTTTCTCATATGCCATGCTCGTAATAATTGCTTTATATTGACTATGGTGTTAAGGTGAATGGCAGAAGGAAAAGAAGAAATTTTGGCCATGTTTGATGCATAAGATTATGAATAGGATAAAATGATAATCATCTTATATTATGTTTAGTTTGTATCTAAAGAAAGGGATAGTATTACAAGGAAGATTAATCATCTTTTAGTATAAGATGATTAAATGTTTCCAAAGTAGAGAGGATTATTTTTAATCTATGGGATTGAACTTATATGTCTTATTATACACTTAAAAATTATATTAATAATATAAATTGTATAACCTTTAAGGAAGGATAATTTTGACTAATAAATAAATTATTCTATCTTAATCCTTGTACATGTCAAACATAAGATAGTATGATATTATTTAATCAAATCATATTCATAATATCATCATATTCTATCCTATCAAAAAATGTTGTATACCAAACACATCCTTCAAGTGTTGAATGATGATACTAATTTTGGGACATCCAATATTAGAGGGACTGATTATTTAGGTGTATGCAGTTTCCTACTTTGCATCCGAATGGAATGGTTTTTCAATCAATAAAAATTTGTTTAAAGCTTTGAAATGGTCTCTTACATGAAGTTTATAATTAAAAACAATTAAAAAGTGAAGACGGTGAGAGGAAATTTAAACTGAAAATCAAAACCTGTAAATTGATTAATTTTATTAAATAAATCCATAATATATAAAATATTTATGGAAAATATATCTATATGCAATATTAATGGAGAACTTGATTTTAGATAAATAACAAATTACTTAATTTCTTATACACATTATTCACTCAAAAAGAACAATATATTAGAGATTTCGATCTGCAGTTTGTGATTTTATTTATGGTTTTTTATTAGGAATTTCATGAATTTCATCTAAAAGACTTCATCTAAACGTTGCCTTAAATATATCTAGTTCTTAGATGTCTTTAGGTTTTTATCTATGGAATTGATGTGTTATTTTGGTTTTTGAGACAAAGATGTAGACCTAACAATTCGTGTATTTATTTCGTGTTAGTGTTGTGTCAAATATGTGTAAAACATGAAAAATTATTGCCAAATTTGTGTCAACACACCAAATGCAAAACATATTTTTTGGTTTTTCCTAAACGCATTTACAATTTTTGCCAAAATTCTAAACTATATCACTTTCACATCTTCTTTCGTATTGTTTTCTATTATGTTTAAAATTATCAGCTCTACAAGATGCATTATTTGTTTGTTCTCTCCATCTTATTATTCTTTCTATGGTATTTTGTGCTTCTTTAATGCATTCTTGAAATCAATAAAGTATTTAGGGAGTTTTGATCTTTCATACATGTAGGAGTACTTGGATTAACATAACTCAATTTCCTATGGTTGAACACGTTATGCTTTCAAATGTTTTACTACTTATTGTCTAAAATTTTCTGTTGACAAATAAGTTTTGCATTGACAAATCCCGTGATTTCGTTGACCTGCTAGTTTTCTAGTTTAAGAACTTGGAGAGCCTTAGTGATATCCAGCCCTAAGGGATGACAACTGAGTGGGATGGTGTTTTGCCTGTCTCAACTCTTTAGTATCTTCACTCGGACCCACCTTGACCCAACACCGGGTTATAACTTTTAGTACCTGATCCTGATGTGAACAAAATATTTATAACCCACATCTCACCTGACCAGATCTAAAATTTGTTTTAATGATTTTAATTTAGTAAAATATTCATGAAAAAAACTTTATTTTTAGTATAAATTATAACTTAATTACATATAAATGTATTAGATAATCTGGATATTCTATTTTCATGTGATATAGGATGGGAATGTGCTGGTATCATAGTGATTTAATATTGGGATCAAGGAACAAAAAAGAATAAAAGTGGATAAAAAATCACATGGGTTAAAGGTGGAAACATTGAAGATTAATGTAGAGACATCTTACTGTTTCCCAAGCTTTCATGAGTTGTGGTTAGACAAAGTTGTTATGGACTGAAAGTATCTTAACCTTCTAAGGGTGAAAGAAGCATTACACAAAGTTAAGTCTTTATAGAGAGAAAAAGGGTCTTTTTTTTAGAATTATTTAGATTCCTTTTACATTTTGCTTTCTTAAAGGCTATTATGAAGCAAAAGTAGAGTAAAATCATATTTGATTAAAAATGAGAAAATGATTAACTTGAAAAACCAATTCAAACATAGTCATTTCACATAAAAAATAAAATAAATGTGAGTTTTTTTGCCTGCTTAATTCAATTATATTTTTAAAATATTCTCTGCTTTTTCTTTCTAAATACACTTTTTATATCAAATAAGCAACAATAAAACAAAATCCATAGAATTAATTAAAAGCTTCATAAGTACAGTTGTCTTCCCTTATCGTGTAGGATGATGTTTACTTATATGGAAGTTGAAATGCTGGTTGCTTGTCTTGGTTTTTATTATACTCTTATGTGCAAAGGAAATCATCTATTTTTTTTTTTTTATTTTACCACTAAAGTCTAAATCTTAATGTTTTTCCTTTCTTTTTCTTTGCATGATCTATTATAGGTATACCTTGAGCTACATCCCTTTCGCCAGGTCCATGGTTTCAAAGATCATGCTTTCATGTTTTGACACTGAATTTTAATCTGATTTCCGAGATGATCTTGGATGAATCTGCTCTTGGACTTTCCTGTATATACAAAGAGGGGAGGTTAGTCCATATCCATAAAACTGAAACATGAGATATGAGATATGACTAGGTATGACTAGTAAATCTCAAAGACGAATTTTCCTTGCAAAATCCCTTCTGCTGCTCTTGATTTTCTTAGATATGAGAAGAGATGTTGCTCTGATTATTGAAATGAGAACTCGGGTTGAGTAACTTTTTTTGGGTTTGTCATTTATGTAATTTTAAGCAATTTAGAGTGATGCAGATTATTCTCTCTGGTTTGAAGGAGAAGGTAAGGCACTGATTTGTTAACCTATGCTGATCACCTGTCCAATTTTATTTCCAACTATAGCTCCTAATCGAAAATTGCTATTACTAGCAGGAGCGCAGATTATAAATTTGGATCTGAATTTAACTTGAAAGGTTTTTTTAAATCCTTTCAAGCATCCATGCCGTGGAATTGGAAGGTACTAACCACTAACAGCTAGCGACTGTAGTAATTGTGGTGACAACTACTGACCTTAGAGTAGCTGCGAAATGATATTCTTTATTGCTCACATCATATGTTTCTCCTCTTAACACTTTTCTCTTCTCACAAATTGCCTTATATATATATATATATATATATATACACTAGTCACATGCCTATTCGTTGCTACGGGTCTAATTTTTTTTGGTTAATAATATTGAATCTAATAAATTAGTGAGTATAATGTTGTTTATAATTTTTTTAATAAAAGCAATTAGTGAACATTTATCAACTAATTTATTAATAATTTATGCATTTTATTCTCATAGGTATAACAAATCAAATATAAAATCACTTTATCAAATTTATCTTTAAGAAATTATTTGATACATTTTTAGTGGAAGTTTTTAATTTCACAACCAGGGTAAACTTCACTTCTTTTTTTAATTAGTTTGTTATTTTTTTAAATATATCTTAAGAGATGCGTCACTCATATAACCTTATTTATGGAGATAAAAAAATTACACTGACAGTGCATTTGATAAATTTTTTTTTATCTTTTCAAGCATAGTTAAAAATATTAAAAAAGATAATTAAAAATAACAAAAAAAAAAGTTCAAGAAAAAAAAAAAGCTAAATGAGAATATCATGTGAATATTTTCACTTAGAGATGGTATCGAGTTGGGTAGGGATTGCCCTATCCTCATCCCAACTCCAGACCTATACCAAGTTACTATTTTTTATACCTAACTTAAACTTGAAATATATATATATATATATATATATATTTATGTATATATGTATGTATAATTCATATTTGACTACACAAAAAATCAATTCAATAGTGTAACATTTATGAAAATATTATTTTTAATATAAATTATACTTTAATTAAATATATAAAGATAATATTTTTAAATAGACATATTAAATAATAACTTATTAATATAATATATATAAATTAAATTAAATAAATAATCAAATATATATTCTTATATCCAAGATGGAGTGGGGCAGAACCTTTTACACGCCTCTGATTTGAACTTTGATTTTCAAAATGAAAAAATGTCCTTCATCGAGCTGATTCCGATTAAAAAAACTTTTCCTATTGAATTGGCAAGTTGAAATTCATAAGATATAGGTTATGTTATCTCTACTTCTACTGATCCCATTTATTATAAAATTTATTTTATTTAAAAAAGGAAAAAAAGCAAAAACTGAAAAAAAGAAAAAAAGAAAAAAATGACCAATAAAAAGTGAGAAAAACTCCAATGAGAGGGTCATGTGAAAACTCTAATTCGGTATTTATGTTTTCAAATATAGATAAAAAATATTACAATAGAAAATTAAAAAACAAAAAAAAAGAGAGTTAAAACTAAAATTATTATCTAAGCACAAAAAGAAAAAAAATCCAAAATAATAAAGGTGCTATATGAACACCTCTATTTAAGAATGATAGTTGATCGGATCAAGGGCATGTTTGTGTATACACTAATTTTAATTCATTTTTTTTTTAATAATTCAACTCTGTTTTGATTTACACATGATATCGAGTTTTTATTTATTTATTGGTACTTTGATCTTAGCTTGTCACATATATATAACTTACATTAGAAAATTATATCTTAGTTATGTATAAATATAATATTTTTATTAAATTTAAGTATTAAATAATAATTTAATTAATATAATACATATATATAATTAAATGAATGATAAAATATATTTTTATATTTATTCGAGATTAGGTGGAACACACTAAAACTACTTTCTGACTCTGTTCTAATTTTCAAAAAGAAAAAAAATTCAGTTCACTCTAAAATTTTTAAAAAACCTACACTTATTGGATCTAGATAAGTCTAAATCTATCATATGCGGATTATTTTGTCATTCTTACTTTCATTAATTTTTTCTTACAAAATTTATTTAATTTAAAAAATATCAAATACTATAAAACAAATAAAATGGCAAAAAAAAAAGCTAAATAGGTGCCACATGATTTATTAAATTAAAGTATTAAATAATAATTTTATTAATAAAATACAATATATATTTAATATAAAATTAAATTAATAATATATATATATATATATCTTGAGTGGGACAAAAAACTAAAAAATTGCTTTCAAACCTACCTTAATTTTTAAAAAAGTAAAAGCATTAACTGGATTCTGAATTTTTTTTTAAAAAAATGTGCTTATTAGATCAAAACAAATCAATACTCATTGAATATGAGTTGTTTTATCATTTTTATCTCCATTAATTTTTTCTTATAAAATCTGTCTATAAAAAATTAAAAAATTCAAATAAAAAAAATAGTGATTTTACAAAGGTGAGGCTGTTACGTGAACACGCTCCTTTCTCCAAAATCTTTAAAATTAACTATCAAACTAGAAAAACTACCCGTTTATGCTTGGGTTACAATTTTTTTTATTTTGATAGAATATAAACTATATAAATTTTTATTTAATAATAAAAAATAATATTTTTTTAATATTTTGTTGTTATTTTTAATTTTTTTGAAAAATATAATCTTTTAACAAAAATAAAAATATTAGTACTTGAATTGTGTCACTCAAGGTAGACAACTTTAAAAAAAATTATATAAATTAAATCAAAACTCAATAATACATACATGATAATTCAACTTATCGATACAATATTTATCTATTACCAACATTGATCAATTATCAAATTCAAACCCATTTACCCATGGAATCAAAGCCTACTAATATCATCACTTGTTCAACTTAATTTTTTAAGAAAAAATCAATGATTTTAATATAGTAGGAGGTGTATTATAGCAATTTTAACCAATGATGGTTAAAGGGTATTTTTATAATTATGGTTGTAGTGTATTATAGTGACCCTGGCCAATTATAGTAAAAGAGATATTTTAAGACATTATAGTAATTTTAAGAAGGGTACTACAGTTGATTTAGATGCGTGTCATTCAATTGTCAAGCAATTAGAAGGACACTATAATCATTTCCAAGGTGATCACTTTCATATAATTGTATGGATATTAAAATTTAATATGTAATTATGAAGTAATAAAAAATATATTTTTGTAATTATGATAAGAAGGCATTATAGTAATTTTAGCAAATGATGGTAGGAGGGCATTTTTGTAATTATAGTTGTAAAAGCATTACATTAACTTTGGTTAATTATGGTAAAATGGATATTTTAGTAAATATAATAAGAGTGGCATTATGATAATTTTAGTTAATCGTAGAAAGAGGAGCATGACAATTGATTTGGATGCATGTGATTCAATTGTCAAATAATTAAATAGGTATCATGATTATTTTTAAAGGGATTAATTTAATATTATTACATGAATGTTAAAATTTAATACGTAATTATGAAACAATCAAAATAGCATTTTTGCAATTATGCTGAAGAGGGCATTATAATAATGTTGGCAAATTATAATATGAAGAATATTTTCGTAATTATGGTAGGAGTGGAATCATATGAAGCAATCAAAAATGTATTTTTGTAATTATAGTTAGAATGTATTATAGTAATTTAAACCAATTAAAATATGAAAGGTATTTTCATAATTATGGTTAGAGGATATTAAAGTAATTATGATAAATTATAATATATGAGGTATTTTTATAATTATGGGCAGAGAGCATTTCTGTAATTATGGTTATAGAAACATTACAGTAAATTGGCCAATTATGGTAAGAGGAGTATTTTAATAATTAGATTAAGAGAAGCATTATAATCAATTTGGATGCATACAAAATAATTAAAAAGGCATTATGATCATTTTCAAGGGGATTAATTTTATATTATTATATGAATGTTAAAATTTAATGCATAATTATGAAGTAATCAAAAATATATTTTTGTAATTATATTTAGAGGGTATTATAATAATTTTGACTAATTATAATATGGAAGATATTTTTGTAATTATGGTTGAAGAGGCATTATATGAAGTAATCAAATGAGACTTTTTTATAATTATGGTTAGAGAGAATTCTAGTAATTTTAGTTAATTATAATATGAAAGATGTTTTCATAATTATGATAAAAGGATATTTTCATAATTATGGTTAGAAGGTGTGATAGTAATTTTGACCAATTATGGTAGAAGGGGTATTATAATCATTTTGGTCAATTATGGTAAAAAAGATATTTTAGTAATTATGTCAAGAGGAACATTATAATAATTTTAGGTAATTATAGAAATAGGGTACCATAGTCAATTTAGATCATATAATTCAATTTTCAAGTAATTAAAAGCATATGATAATCATTTCTAAGGGAATTAAGTTTACACGTGATATAAGAATGATGAGCTTTTATAAAAAAATTTGTATTATGAATTAAAAATATAAACTAAAAAAATTTTAAAAATAAAAAAAGAATCAAATTCAAATGCGAAGCTAACACATCCACTAATATAAATTTTTTTGAAAAAAAATGATCAAATTAAAAAAAAGAATAAAAATAAAAAAATTAAACATATATTTTTAGTAATAATATCAAATAACCTATAATTAAAAAGTCAAAATATAAAAAACTATTAAATCTTGAAAAAGTTAATAAGAAAAAATGAAAAAAATGACTTGACATGTTGTATATTATTTATATAAAGTAGGTCTCATAAAAAAATTTAAATAAAAAATTATTTATCAATTATGTAAAAAATAAAAATAAAGGTTAAAAAAGAAAAAAAAGTTATGTACCCTTGATAACAAATGAGTTTAAAACAAAAAAAAAAAAGAAAAAATTAAACAAAAGGAAGAAGTAAAAAAGTAAAAAATAAATTGGTATAAATGAGTTCAATAAAATTTTTTTAAAAAAACTATATATTTTTTTAAAAATATTGAATATAATAATAAAAGAAAGAAATTATAAAAAATAGATGAAAAACAAGTAAAACCAAAAGATAAATTTAAAAAATGTGGACCTTACACCTCTTAAAAAAATTTTAGAAAAAAAATATTGGTCTCACCAATTGAAAAAAAAAAAAAGAATCAATGGGAAAAGAAAAAAAGAGCCCCACACTATTTTGAAAACAATAAAAAAAGTAAGGCTTAAAAAAAAATCCATATGCTGCCACA